ACACACACACACACACACACACACACACACACACACACACACACACACACACACACACACATAAAAGAAAATATTTTATAATAAAAAAAAATAATTTCTACATAATCTTTATATCATCCCTTTATGTCATTCCTTTACTTCAAAAGAAGTCACAAAAAATTAAGTTTTTCAGCAGTTTTTTTTTAACAAAATTGTTTAAAAAATTATACTAATTTGTTAAAAAATTATACTAATCAAATAATATCAATAAAAAGAGAGATATATTCTTAGAAACACAGGCAAATGTTATTTTTGTTATTTTATCATATCTTTTAAAAAGTATCCATTTTGAGTTGTGACAATTGTTGACATCCTAAAATTATAATAAATATGAAACAATTCATCAAAGTGAAATAACTCAGAATATCATCAACAGGTTATATTTATCTTCATTAGCCAAAGTAGTAATTAAATTTAAAATAAAATAATTTCTTATATATTAATTTAAGTATGTAAAAAATCTTGCATTTGATTTCTCTGTGTTTACCATTATGCAATAAACTGCCCATGTGTACTCGGATTTCTATGACTGTTACAGGTCCACTCAAATATCCATCTTCCAATACCTTCTTCATGTGTACAAAGGCTGGCAAAAATCTTAGGCTGTGATTGACTATGCTGATCAGCGAAGGATAATACTGTGCAGCCCGTACCATCTTCAAAGCCTCACTTTGGCTTAGACCTGCAGGTTTATCACATACGACGTGTTTTCCTATGCCTAGGGCTTTGACAGCAATCTGGGAATGCAAGCTTGGCGAGCACATTATGAAGATCAGATCCACATCCTTCCTCAGAAGAACATCGTCTATGCGACTTGTGTGAAACGGTATTTGGAGATCGTTTGCTACCTCCGAAACCTCTGCCAGCGTACGACCCCATATAGCCTCGATTCTGAAACCCTTCTCTCTCAGGAAAGGTATAATGATCCTGACAATGCTGCCTGTGCCAAACACCCCGATGCCGGGTAATGTCATCCTGAACGTGTGAAGAAGGGAACACGTTCGTTCCTTTTAATTCTTCACTTAAACTTAACCTATGACGCGACGACAGTAGTCTCTATTCTTATTCTTAGCAATGAATAAGAGTGTCCCGTAGTTTATTTTCAGTCTTGCTTAATATTTAGTCACGCTTCTTCATTTTCGGACTTTGGAATTCAAATGTAGGTCACGTATTAGCGAATTTGCTTATGACAGCAGTGGTGAATCATGGTGAATGAAGATTCATGAAACCATATACAATGAACATTATAAACACAAATAAACATTTAAGGCTGATACATATGTTAAATTAAAATCTGTTTTTTTTTAACATGTTATTTACTTACATCTATTGTTTGATAAATATTAAATAAAATATAAATGTTATTTCTTTACAAGACATAGTACAGATACATACATACAGATACATACAGATATAATACATGATTTTTAGGACGTGAAATCTGTATCACATCTTTACAAGACGTGATACAGATTTCGCGTCCTAAAAATCATGTATTATAAATCAAAACATCTGATAATGCTCGTTTCTACCAATGTAGATTATAACTTTCATCAATTTACTCGTCATCATTTTCTATTTTTTCTAAGAATTGGAAAAAGTGAACTGAGATTAAAACTAATAATCCGTAAACTCAGATTCCGATAAGGACAAATAAAATTAATCTAAACATCACTGGAAATGGGCGTTAATCGATTAAAAAAAAAGATCTTTTTACGTGTCATATATGATCATATTTCAAACGCTTCCATTGCGATGACACACAAATCTATGTACGTTCGTACGTCGATGACTGCAATTATTATTATTGATTAACCGAAGTGTCCCGAGCTCGCCCGAGCTCAATTTCCCTTCCTTCCCGACGCCGCGACGAGTGACGAATCTTTTATCCACTACATTCCCTTCGTAATCCGCTGTTCATTTCGCACAAGCGGCACAGGTGCGACGCGACGCGACGCGACGTGATGTGATGCGACGCGTGCCTGTCACGTCCGCTCCCGCACTTGTCTGACTCTTTAAAATATGTAAATACGCGGTCGCGTGCGCGTGTTCACATATATCAACGTTTCTCGAGAGTTCACGTATCCGTTGCGTTCGCGTGGACTTCACTTTGGCGATCGCGGAGCGATGTCGGAGGTGCGCAAGAGAACGACCGTCGGCGACGCGACATCGTCGACAGCGGCATCGCGAGACGTCAGTGACGATCAGGTAAAAAAAAATCAAGAGATTTCTTCTCTTTTTTTCCTCTCTCTTGCTCGCTCGCTCTCTTTTCTATTATGCCGCGGTTTCCGGAAGATATTCTCCGGTATGCATCCGTATTCCATCAATGTTTATGCTATCGACGACTATCGATTTGCGCCGTTGGCACATAACGAATTATTTGTTGATGCGACATATTTGACAGCTACCAATACATCGCGCGCGCTTATCCGACGCCGCGCATCGCGACGCTTTACGTATACGCGTCATATGATATGAGTGCTTTCCATTTATACCTTTTCTACCGATATAGATTAATTTTATCTTGGTTTAAACAACTACTTTTTATTCTCTTCTAATTCTCTACCAATACAGATTAACTTTAATCTCGGTTCAACTTTAATTGCTTTTTATCTAATTGCTTTTTCTAGTTCTAAGAATTAGAGAAGGATAAGAAGTAAATTAAACCGAGATTAAAGTTAATCTACATTGGTAGAAATAAATGTTGTCTGATATAGATTATGTTGTCTGATATAGATTTCTAATATAGATTAACTTTATGTAATTACTTTTAATTTTTTTCTAGTTCTAAGAATTAGAGAAGGAATAAATTAAATTAAAGATTAAAGTCAATTTACATTAATAAAAAAAACGTTGATAAAAGTGACACAAGTTGACACAAATTGTCATTTTTATCTATCTTAGCATTTCATTTCAATAACAAAGACAGAACTATGATGTGTAAAGACTAATATCATGGATAGAACAATGCTTGTGTTGACACTAAATAGAAAGCATCCCATGCAACATGAAATTGTTCTTTTATTTCTAAATTTCTACCAATGTAGATTAACTTGAATCTTGATTTAATTTATATTTTGTATTTATTTCTAGTTTATATTCTAGTTTTAATAATTAAAAAAAGACGAGGAGTAAATTAAAGTTAATCTATATGATAGAAATGGACCTTATTATAGCAAAACTTCTTATATGCTTTATCTTTTCTTTTTTTTTCTTCAATGCAGAAAGAAATGAGTAGAAATGAACTGTGCGAGTTCAGCTAAAAAAACAAGTTCAAGTGCGTAAACGCGCTCGCGATATGTATTCATAACACGCAGCACTTTCATTAATCCTCTTAGGGGGGTTGGGGATTGGGGAGACTGTTTTGGAGTAGATCAATCGAGAAGCGAGAGATCCGGGTTGTCATGGGTTAGAAGGAGCGGGAGATATAACGGCGCAATGATTTCTCCGTTAAAGAGCGAAGTCGAGCTTTAAATCGTAAGGCTCACAAGATTGGAGAGGATCTCTCATCTTTCGGGGGATAAAAAAAATGAGAGAAACCTTTAACCTTTTACATGTCTGCTTATCGCAGTCACATTCCTTTGTCCTTCCTTCGTACCTGATCCTGCGATTGTGTCTATCCGATGTTTTTTTAATTAGAAAATGTGCCCTCGCATGTTTTCCTCGATGCATTTTAATTGTCGCGAATATTTAATTTCCATGTAACACGATCATGTTCTGTTCTTTGATCCTGTTTTTTTCCATTCTTAATTCTCCGTTTGCAATCTGAATTTTTTTAGCACAAGCGGAATTTTACTCTCAAATTTCTTCGAAATAAAGGAGGACGAAGTCCAATCTTCCCCCTCCTCTATCTTATTAAAAATTGGATGTTTGTATACTATATTTTATACAAATACGCTGAAGATAGCGCCGAAATGATCTTTTCAATAAAATTTAAATTAAATTTAATTTAAATAAATTTAAATTAAATTAATACATTAAATTAATATTTAAATTAATATTTAAATTAAATATTTGCCTATCACTCACCGTGTTGTATAACTCTAATTGTCACTCGTTATTATATATTTTTTTTATTTAATAATATAATAGAGATGTTAAAAAATATGATTTTGATTTTTCACATTTTTTGAAAGCTTTTGAAATCAATAGAAAATTTTGTATTGAATGAAATGAATAAAAATATGATTGCAGACAAAAATACTTCAATAAATATTTTTTTATCAAATTTTTAATAAAATAAAAAATTGTTTTTACATTCAGTAAATTTATACTAATAGTTTTTTATTTTTTTCAGAAAGAAGATGTTGAATCCGAAGATGATGCGAAATTGGAGGTAGAGGAGTTAGCAAAGGCTTTACCTCAAGGAACTGACCATACTCCACATATTTTAAGTTCCGTTCTCTCCGGTCTTCCAGATCGGTAAAATATTCATATTACTTCTTTTGTACAATAATTTTATTGTAATTCTATATGAATTTTTTGAATTTTTCGTTGTGGTTCTTACAGCTGGCGAAATTGGATAATTAGAACCATTTTTACTTGGTTTATGATAGCTGGGTTTTGTCTCATTATTTATGGGGGTCCATTAGCGTTGATGATTACAGTAAGTTTCAAAATATTCATACTATTC